TGGGCGACAGAGTGAGACTCCAACTCAAAAAAAAAAAAAGAATCACGAGTATGTCTTTCCACATTGTCTACAAACAACAGACTGTACAATAAATTACATATTAATGTGGTAGGAAGAAAATGAAATTGCATTGTTTGCTCGAATAGAAAAACACCAGGTGGAAGACGTCAAACAAATTATTGTACAACGTGTCAATGAACATGTAATGCATGTTGGTGACTGTTTCACATGTTAGAAAAATGTAAGATATACAATTCTGATTTTTTTATGTCATAAATAAGTTCTTCAGTGTCCACAATTCCATAAGCCCAATGTCCTTACAATAAAATAATTGGTTCTAACCCTATAATCTTTAATATTTAATGATTCATTTTCACTGGTTTTATTTTATTTTTTGAGTTGGAATCTTACTGTCTTGCCCAGGCTGGAGTGCAGTGGCATGTTCACGGCCCCCACACCTCGACCAGCTGGGCTCTGGCATCCTTCTGCCTCAGCCTTCCAAGTAGCTGGAACTACAGGTGTGTACCACCAACACCTGGCTAATTTTTTGATTTATTGTAGAGATGAGGTTTCACCAAGTTGCCCGGACTGGTCATGAACTCCTAGACTCAGGCAATCCTCTTGACTCAGCCTCCCAAAGTGCTAGGATCACAGTCTTGAGTTACCACGCCTGGCTCATTTTTCACTATTTCGTACAAAAGTACAAATTGGTAGGTGATTCGTGAGATGTCTCCAGATGTGAAGGGTCAGTATAAAGTGATTTATTTTTCACTGTTTTGTAAAAAAGTGCAGTTCAGTTGTTGGTAGGTGATGTGCAAACTATCTTCGAGTGCGAAGGTTAATGCCATTTTTACAAGTGAGAAAATGGCTGCATAGCTAGTAGAGAAAAATACTGGGATTGAAATTTGGGTCTATATGCAACTCCAAAGCCCATTCTGTAGGGTGACACCTTATAGGACACACATCATTCAGCCGACAGCTTTGGTATTTCTCACGAGATCTAATGTTACACACAAACACAAAAAAGACAGGTAAAAAATAACCAGTAAATCATAAAGCTGAAGATAGTTTTTGAGATTTTTTTGATTTTCAAAGATGATTTTCTCTGAAAAATATTTCTCTCCTGAGCAGATTTTTTATTCCCAGTGAAAATGATATATATTTTGTTGTTGTTGTTGTTTGTTTTTTTTGAGTTGGAGTCTCACTCTGTCGCCCAGACTGGAGTGCAATGGCCGCTCCCGGCCACCGCAGCCTCAACCTGCTGGGCTCCGGCAATCCTTCCGCCTCAGCCTTCCAAGTAGCCGGAATTACAGGCATTCTCTACCACGCCTGGCTGATTTTTTGATTTATTGTAGAGATGAGGTCTCACTGCCCAAGCGGGTCTCGAACCCGCGGGCTCAGGCAATCCACTCACCTCAGCCTCCCAAAGGCGCGGGATTACAAGCTGAGACACCAAGCCCAGCTAAATGATGAGTTTAATAAAACTTGCCAGACTGTAACCTAGCTGGTAGAAAGTGAATGATATATTACTTTACATAGTAGAATAAATTTAGGTATATTTTGAAAAAAAAAGATATGCTAATAGCCGTGAGCGTTTTAGTGATGGAAAAATGTTACAGTCTTAGAATTCTCAAATGTACCCCAAGAAGCTGACAGCATTCCTTATACCTGGAAATTGGCAAAACATTAGACATTAAAGAGGGTTAGGGAAAATTTAGATTTAATGTCCTCCCTTCATAATTGTCATCTTTAAGTGATTTGAGAATTATGAGACTTCAGTAAGCTTTCTTCAAAGCAATAGAAGATTCATTAAATGATGTAACTTACTGGCTTGAGTAATCTTGGGGAAGTTATTTATTCTGAACTCCTATTTCCTTGTCTGTAAAACAAGGATAATAACAGTACCTAGTGCATACAGTTGCTTTGAGATTAAAAACTGTTATGTCAAATGCTTAATATGTTATGAGTGCTTGATATATGATTGTTATTATTACTATTACCAGGTGGCAGTAGAAAAAAGTCTTACTTTTTTGATAGCACTTTTTTTTTTTTGAGTTGGAGTCTCACTCTGTCACCCAGACTGGAGTGCAGTGGCCGCTCCCGGCCACCGCAGCCTTGACCTGCTGGGCTCCGGCGATCCTTCCACCTCAGCCTTCTGAGTAGCCGGAATTACAGGCGTGCGCTACCACGCCTGGCTAATTTTTTTAAAATTTTATTGTAGAGATGAGGTCTCGCCTGCCCAGGTGGGTCTTGAACCCGCAGGCTCAGGCAATCCACTCACCTCAGCCTCCCAAAGGCGCGGGATTACAGGCTGAGCCACTGAGCCCGGCTTGATAGCACTTTTAAATTCTACAGTATTCCTAAGCTAGCAGTTTTCAAACTTTCTAGATTCATAGTACTTAAAAGTGTCTCAGTAAGTATTTTCATGGCTTCCCTAGGTCAAAAATACCTAATGGTTTTGTTTATAAGTATTTAGGTCAAAACATTTTAGTGTTTATGTCCTAAAAATATAGTAGCTATTTGAAAAAAATACATAGTGAAAAATATTTTTATTCAAAAACTAGGGCCAGGCACAGTAGCTCACACCTTAAATCCAACACTGGTAGGCTGTAATGGGAGGATCACTTGAGCCCAGGAGATCAAGGCCTGGGCAATATGGCAAAACCTCATCTCAGCAATAAATCAAATAATTAGCCAGGTATGGTAGAACATGCCTGAGCCCAGCTGGTTGAGGCTTTGGTAGCCTGTGATCATACCACTGTAGTCCAGCCTGGGCAACAGAGTGAGACTCTGACTTAAAAACAAACAAAAAAAATTTTTGTCTCATTTTTAAACAGTCACAATTGGTGCGTACTGTACCCTTCTTAAACTTTGCTTCCACTCTTATTTCTTGTTCCACACTGATTTTTGTACAGTACCTACTTTTGTTAACAGTAACCGCTAACAGCCTAATTTCTCAAAGATATGATGGTATTGAAAAGAATGTAGCAAAATGATCTAATGTTGAAACTGAACTACTTGGAGAGTTCTTTTCTCCAAACTTAATATATCCCACAATTAGCTGGGTATGGTAGCTCACTCATATAACCTCAGCACATTGAGAGACCAAAGCAGTACGATTGCTTGAAGCCAGGAGTTTGAGACCAGCCTGGGCAACATAGCAAGACCCCACGTCTCTTTAAAAAAAAAAAAATACACACACACACACACACACACACACACACACACACAATATATATATATATACACATATATACATATATTCCACTCTAACATCTGATTTCACTGCAGTGTTCCCAGCCATCTCGGCATATGTATAGTAACAGTAGTTCTAAGCCACTAACTGTGGAAGGTTAATGATTTGTTACTGCAGTTTACTAGCCAGTAGGCTGAAAAAGATTTATGATTGTGTCTTTTAGACCAAAATGCTTATCTGAAATGCTTAGAACCAGAAACATGAGATTTGGGGTGGGACTTTTGGAATATTTGTGTTAAGACATTCGCCAGTTCAGCATCCCTAATCCGAAAATCCTAAATTAAAAAAGTTCCAGTGAGTATTTCCTTATTGCCATATTGGTGCCAAAACGTTTCAGATTTTGGAGCACTTCAGGTTTTTGGATTAGAAAAAATAAACTCTGATTAAGACCAGTTGTTTTTATTCTTTATTATGAGATGGTAAATGGGATGAAAAGGATTTATGATAGAAATACTCCCTGACTATAACTATTAAGTCACATTTAGTAAATTTTCAAATCATAATAATTTTGTCTTCAAGCATCAAAATGCCAAAATAGTTTATTTTGGTGATGCTTGTTTTAAAAAAATTACATAAGCCTACAATAATTGCAGACTTTGTCTGACTTGTGATAGAAATGTGTTCATCTATTAAATTGGTGCTTTTTTCCAGGCAGTAGCAGGTTTGTTGGCAGATGCTCGTTCTTTAGCAGACATAGCAAGAGAAGAAGCTTCCAACTTTAGATCCAACTTTGGCTATAACATTCCACTAAAAGTAAGTTGATAACATATTGAGAATCCTATTGAACACTAATACACATTTATTAATAAGCTCTTTTATTTCCCTCATAGCATCTTGCCGACAGAGTGGCCATGTATGTACATGCATATACACTCTACAGTGCTGTAAGACCTTTTGGCTGCAGGTATGACATTTTGTGAGATAGTTAAAAGTCCTATCTTGTACTTTAGATATCTATTTTCCCCAACATCCTAAGCTTTTATATGCTTAAAAATATGAACTGAGCTGGGCTCGGTGGCTCAGCCTGTAATCCTGCGCCTTGGGAGGCTGAGGTGAGTGGATTGCCTGAGCCTGCGGGTTCGAGACCCGCCTGGGCATGCGAGACCTCATCTCTACAATAAGTCAAAAAATTAGCCGGGCGTGGTAGCAGGCGCCTGTAGTTCCAGCTACTTGGAAGGCTGATGTGGAAGGATCACCGGAGCCCAGCAGGTCGAGGCTGTGGTGGCCGGGAGCGGCCACTGCACTCCAGTCTGGTCGACAGAGTGAGACTCCAACTCAAAAAAAAAAAAAAAAAAAATGAACTGTTACCAAGAAGTATTAGGACAATGATTAAAAGTGTGCATGAAAATCTATTTGAAGAGTGAAAAGATCATACAGATCTGAAGTGATTATAAAATAAAGAACTCATAATAATGACTTTAATCTGGTTATAATAAATTCTCTGGCACACTAGTCCCTGATACTTTTAGGAAACCATGAGCTAATTTTAAATATACTCCATGTTGACAAATTAGTCATTTATACTTCAGTTTTCTCATTGATTTCTATATGATATACTTTAAGTACTTAGGTAATATGCTTTTAAATGGAGTTTTGTGGGGTTTTTTTTTTTTAGCAGTATTTAATCTATACAAAATTACATTCCATAATTTCTATTAGGCACGGTTTCTATTTCTGTTGTTCAAGTGAAGTGCTAGTGTTTGTATTTTTAGGAAAAGTAAGGCTTCAACTGCATAAAGACCTGGAATAGGTATAAATACCCAAATGCGGCTTCACAGAGACTTGTCATAAATAGAATTTTCTTTTTCTTTTCTTTTTTTTTTTTTGAGTTGGTGTCTCACTTTCACCCAGGTTGGAGTGCAGTGGCACGCTCCCGGCCACTGCAGCCTTGACCTGCTGGGGCTCAGGAGATCCTTCCACCTCAGCCTTCCAGGTAGCCGGAACTACAGGCGTATGCTCCCATGCCCAGCTAATTTTTTAATTTATCGTAGAGACAAGGTCTCACCACATTTCCCAGGCTGGTCTTGAACCCACACGCTCAGGCAGTCCTCTTGCCTCAGCCTCCCAAAGTGCTGGGATTATAGGCTTGAGCCACTGCGCCCAGCCTATATTTTTCTAAAATAAAAATAAATGTTTCGTTTATACCTTTAAAAAAGTCATACTTTATCAAAGTAATACATTACTAACATATGAGTGAGTGCTTAGCTATAGTCTTACCTTTGAGTTGTTTGTAATTAGCCATACTTAACTGCTAATGAAGATATGTTAAAGAAAACCTGGGTTTTCTATTGGCAGTATATTAGACCTATGGATGGATATTTGTAGCATTAATTATTAAGGTTTCATAATTATATTATGAAACACTTTGCTTTCAGGCTATGTAGAATACCTTAATTTTTCTTCTTCTTCTTTTTTTTTTTTTTTTTTTTTGTTTTGGGAGTCAGGGTTTCCTCTGTTGCCTAGGCTGGAGTGCAGTGGCACCATCATGGCTTACTTCAGCCTTGGCTTCCTGGGCTCAGGCAGTCTTTCATCCTCATCTTCCCAAGTAGCTGGGACTATAGGTGGACGTTACCATGCCCAGCTAAATTTTTGATTGTGTGTGTGTGTGTGTGGAGATGAGGTCTTGCTGTGTTGTCTAGCTTGAAATCCTGGGCTCAGATGATTCTCCCATCTTAACCTTGCAAAGTGCTAGGATTACAGGCATGAGCCACCATCCCACGCCAAATACCTTTTATTTATTTATTTATTTTTTGAGTTGGAGTCTCACTCAGTCGCCCAGACTGGAGTGCAGTGGCCGCTCCCGGCCTTCGCAGCCTCGACCTGCTAGGCTCTGGTGATCCTTCCGCCTCAGCCTTCCAAGTAGCCAGAATTACAGGCATGCTACCACACCCGGCTGATTTTTTGATTTATTGTAGAGATGAGGTCTTGCTGCCCAGGCGGGTCTCGAACCCGCAGGCTCAGGCAATCCACTCACCTCAGCCTCCCAAAGGCGTGGGATTACAGGCTGAGCCACCGAGCCCAGCTACCTTTCATTTTTAACCTTCCAACAGAACTCTAGGTTCATCAGTTAACTTCTCTGTTCTATTTAAGGGGTAAGCATAGAGGAGAGAACTTTTTTAGTAAACATCTATTGTATATGTACTATGAATCAGTCATAGATGTGGAGTTGCAGAGAAGAATGTCGTATTAATAACAGTCTTAAGATGTGATATGGTAAAGGTATATACTGAGTACAATGGAGCAAAAATTAGAGAATGGCACCTTGCTGAAGAGATGGTGCAAAGGAAAGGGTGTGAGATGTAGGATGAATGGATAAGGGTAGTTTCAAGCAAAGGGACCAACATTAAAATATATGGTTATATTTCAGGTAATCCAGAGGTAGTTAAGTATACTTGATGTGTAGAGAATAAGGTTTAGAGACAATATTGAAGATGTAGGAGGGGCCCAGTCTTACAGAATTGTATGCTTTGTGCTAAGGGGTTTCAGCAAAGGAAGTATTGAAGGTTTTTCTTTTTTTATTCATTCATTCATTCATTCATTTTGAGATGGAGTCTCACTCTGTCATCCAGGCTAGAGCGTAGTGACACGATCATAGCTCACTACAGCCTCAAACTTCTGTGCTCAAGTGATCCTCCTGCCTCAGTCTCCATAGTAGCTGGGACTATAGGTGTGCACCATCATGCTTACGTTTTAAAATAATGACTATGAAGCCAGGCATGGTGGCTCATACCTGTAGTCCCAGCTATTTGGATGAGGTCGGAGGATTACTTGAGCCCTAGAGTTTGAAGTTGCAGTGAGCTATTTTCACACCAATCCACTCCATCTTGGGCGACAGTTAGACCTTGTCTCTAAAAAATTTTTTTTTAGAAATGAGATTCTGAAAGTTAAGTCTTATGTCCGTGTGGAAGATGGAAGAGAATGATGGTAGGGGTGGGAATTGAATCGTTGACCTTACAGTATTCTGCATGAGAGATATCCCCTAACCCTGGGCTGTGAACTGGTATGGATAGGTCCATGGCCTGTTAGGAACCAGCCCGCACAGCAGGAGGTGGGGGGAGGGCGGCGAGCAAAACTCTTTCTCCTATCAGATCAGCAGGGGTGTTATCATAGGAAAACAAACCCTATTGTGAACTGTACATGCAAGGGGTCTGATCTAGGTTGCGGCTCCTTTTGAGTATCTAATGCCTGATGATTCCCCTACGCCCCCCATCCTTGGAATAATTGTCTTGCATTTAACTGGCCTCTGATGCCAAAAAAGTTGGGGACTGCTGTTCTAAAGCAAAGAAAATATAGTTGGCCCTTGGTATCTGTGGGGGATTAATTCCAAGACCTCCCACAGATGATAAAATCTAAGGCCGCTAAAGTCCCTAATAAAATGGCATAGTATTTGCATATAAGCTTTGCACATTCTCTCATATACTTTAAGTCATCTCCAGGTTGGTTATCATAATACAATGCAAATTCTATGTAAACAGTTGTTAATACTGTATTGTTTAGGGAATAATGATCCAAAAAAAATCTATGCATGTTCAATACAGACATAAATTTTTTCATGAATATTTTTGTAATGTGTTTAGTTTTCAATCCATGGATGCAGAATTCAGGAATACAGAGAGCTGACTGTATATCACAATTTCAGAAAATCAGTAATTCATATGATCAGTATTCATAAGAACTAATAGCCTGATTTTAGTTTGTTGAGCATAGAAAAATACATTGAACCAATTTTAATTATTGCAGAAAAATGACTGGAGGAATATTGGGGACTAGAATGAAAGTTGGAAAGAGTTTGACACGGATTCAGTGTATTCTTTTGTCAGAACTGTTGTTCCCTTCACTTTTTTGTGTCTCTGCCTTTATCTGTTGCACCCTCTTATTGTTTTTCACCTGTTTATCACTGCTCCCTTCTCTGCACTGCTATCTTCAAACAAGCCACATGAATTTTGAACAGATAATCTCAACTATGTGCTCATTTTAATTATTTGAAACTACCTATCAAAATACTGAGTAATTTATATATTACTAATTTATCTTAGAAACTGCAATTGCATTTTTTTAAAAATTCCTTTTATGGTATTAAGAGCTATGATTTAAACTCTGTTTACCTTTGTGCAGCTTCATGTTAGGGTCTTACAGTGTGAATGACGGTGCACAGCTCTACATGATTGACCCATCAGGTGTTTCATACGTGAGTAATTTTGAATCTCTTGACATCCTGTTTAATGGTCTTTCATTAGCATTTAAGTGTCATATTTAGATTATATGAAACTTCTCTAAAACTCATTCAAAGAAAGTTCTGTTTTCTTATTATTAATAAGCTATGGATATGAGGCAGAGATGTTATTTTCATTATGTGATTTATAGAAACTACATAGTGAATATAATATTTTGAATATGGTGATTCTCCATTATTATATTAACAGTGTCTTAAAACTGAATGTAATTGCCCATTTAAGAAAGGGTTTAAGTGGGATTTCTTAGAGCTTTCCCAAAATTACCCTTTTTTAACTGTTAACTTATTCTGAGATTTTTGTGGTTTTTATTAATTGAAGAAGAAAGTCTTAAATGTAATTTGTCATAACAGAAAGAATATTGAGCTCATAAAAATTAACTTTATTTCTCTCAAGAATATATGTCATTTTTGTCTTTATGCTAAATTTTTTGTTCCTGTTTCCCAAATTGTCTCTAATTCAAAGTGTAAATGATAACACAGTTTATTTTCTTTGGATATACCTTTTTCTTTTTTTCTTGAGTCAGAGTTTCACTCTGTTGCCCAGGCTGGAGTTCGTGGCACACCCTTGACCACTGCAGTCTCGACCTGCTGGGCTCAGGTGATCCTTTCACCTTAGCCCTCCAAGTAGCAGGAATTACAGGCACGTGCCACCATACCCAGCTAATTTTTTTTTTCTGTAGAGACGAGGTCTTGCCAAGTTGCCCAGGCTGGTCTTGAACCCCTAGACTCAGACAAACCTCTCGACTTAGCCTCCCAAAGAGCTGGGATCACACGTGGAGCTGGATATTCCTCTATCACTAGATTCTTTTAGAATTAAGTTTGGTATTTTAATTTCTTGAGTTCTTTGGCCTTTATCAGAATAGTTTGGCTATATTTTTCCATGTTTGCTTTTAAAAATCATTGTACATCCCTTAACTTATAAATAGAAATATTAAGTCATTAATGACATGATAGTACACTAGTTTAATGATTATATATTTTTTGTCTCTTAAAAAAAAAACACAGGGTTACTGGGGCTGTGCCATTGGCAAAGCCAGGCAAGCTGCAAAGACAGAAATAGAAAAGCTTCAGGTAATATTTAATGCTTGAGTTTTTGCTTTATCATCCTCATGCAGTGAAGTTTTATCACCACAAACTAAATGTTTTCGTTTAAGGATATAGTGTGGCTTGATGTTAAAGCAGAGCTTTCTGAAGGTGTTAAATGTTGGAACAGAACAGTTGGTAACACATGTAGAATTGTGTAATGAATCCCTTTACACTGCTATAAAGCCTCAAACTGGAAAAAGACAGTTGTTTATGTAATCTCACAAAATCCTTCAAGTTCATTCATGAATTCAAGGTGAACCCTGGCTTGAGAGTTTTGGTGTTCAAAATTTTGAGTTATTACCACAGGATCGACTATAATAAAAAGTTGTATGTATTCTCTTTTCCTGTATCATTTCTTTGGAACACAGCTTTTATGTTTCAGAAGTGTGGTTGTGCTTCTAGCAGTTCTCTTAATTTTGCTCCTAGTTATGAAGCCTATCCTTTTACAACCACCCACGTTTTCTTCCATGAGAAAGTCAGCTATTAATATGAAAAAGTCTTCTTAAAAGGCTGGTTTTCCTTTTAACCATAATTATTATTATTTTTGAGTTGGAGTCTCACTCTTGTCACCCAGGCTGGAGTACAGTGGCACTCTCATGGCCACCGCAGCCACAACCTGCTGCGCTTAGGTGATGCCTGTGCCTCAGCTTTCCAAGTAGCTGCAACTATACAGATGCATGCCACCTCGCCCGGCTAGACTAACTTAATTTTTAAACAGTATTCACAGTCTTTATTGCTATTAGAAACTTAAAAGGCAGGCATATGATTTATTGGAGTTCTGATAACTTAGAGATAAAATTTCATATACATTTAATAATAACGCTGTACTAGAACGTTGTTCAAGTAGTTACTCATTCAATTTATTTAAGGCCAGGTTATAGAAAATATTTACTAGTGTTTGACATTTATTTATTGCCGAGTTCTAGAACTCTCTATAAAGCCCAATTTATGTTGGGTATTTTAGTAGAGCTGAAAAAAGGACCCAAGAGATCACTTAGCCCTAGACCAAGCTATAAAGCCCAACCCCAGACTTAAACACACTTAGGGTCACAGAATAAATGGGTTCTGAACAGGATCAGGACTTTATGACTTAGACCCATGTTGTTTTCATCACACACTTACTTGTAATGGTGCTTGGTTCCTCTCTTCTACTCTTCCTTTTTGTTTTTATTTCTCCATGGTATTATGTGGAAATTGGAAAATTAGATTATTTAGTAGCCACTATCCTTTTGTCCTTCTGTGGTTAAATCCTAGTAAGTAATGGGAAGAATACCAAATCCCAGCCAAAAAATTGGAAAAATCACTTCAGCTGAGGAAAACATACATCATATGAGAAAACATGCTATAAATCAGGTGATGCAAAGGATGGCCCATTGCCTGCTTTTGTGTAGGTTTTAGTGGCGCACAGCTACATTCAGTCTGTGGCTGCTTTCACACTGCAACAGTAGCGTTATGATATCTGAAACAGAGTCCAGATGATGTTTGAAATGTTGGCTTGGTGTGGTGGCTCAAGCCTGTAATCCCAGCACTTTGGGAGGCCAAAGCGAGTAGATTGCCTGAGCCCGCAAGTTCGAGACCAGCCTGGGCAACTTGGCAAGACCTTGTCTCTACAACACATAAAAAATCAGTCAGGCCTGGTAGCATGTGCCTGTAATTCCAGCTACTTGGAAGGTTGAAGTGGAAGGATCTCCAGAGCTCAGTGGCAGTGAGTGTGCCACTGCACTTTAGCCTGAGCAACGGAGTGAGACTCCAACTCAAAAAAAACAAAATTTTTTTTTTTAAATTAAGACGTTTACTGGTTGGTGCCTTACAGAAAAAAACTTGCTGAACTCCGATCTACATCACTGTTCTAGCCTGTTTTTCTTGTGATGGTCTCTTTACTCAAAACCCCACAATTTTGTGAACCCATGTAAAAATATATTTGCCATTTAAACTGCTTTTTCAGGTTTACCTAAGTTTGATGTGGTAGGATGCAATTAATTCACTAAATATAGAATTTAGGCAAAAATAATATGAAAAAATATAACTAAAAGATTATAACAGACCTCTCTATTTGGACTTACTATTTTCCCGTATTTTATCAGCTTATAAATATATGTTATGATTTTTGCTGTCCCTTCCTTATGTGGCTGTGCAGGCATAGCTTGAACATCAGGATTTCTAAACTAAAAGTACCGATTACTTAAAAAAACATACAATATGCAAACTCCTCAGCTGAGCACTTAACAGCTCCCTTTCTGCCCTGACTTCCAAGTATTCACTGAAAGAATGCTTCTAAAATGAACAAACTTTTGGCTTCCCGCTTTTGCTTATTTGTCTCCCTCTAAATCAAACCAAATCCAATCTTGATTCTTCTTCAGAGCCTTCCATAATATTCTGCATTTTTGCCTTGAATAGTTCCATGAGGAATAATTTCTCCTATTCATCTTTTTGTATATTTCATATAGTATTCATGGCTTATTTGTAATTTATTGTCCTAAATTGGCTATAAAAAAATCAAATTTCTTCTCCAGTCTTTCATAGGCCTCTGTATTTTTATAAAATTTTTCACAAAGTTAGTGCTATCAGTGGGTTATGCAGAATATCTATTGTGGCATTTTAATTTAGAAACATTAAGTTGTGAATCAGAAAAATTAGATTCTGAGCTTTTGGGGACTTCAGATTTTTTTCCTGGTTTTACACCTGAGTATCTCAAGAAAACCTAGGTTATTGATAAAAGTTGTAAAAATAGTTACACAAGTTGGAAAGCATTCTTCATTTGAACCATACAATTAATATATGTTTTATTTTCTATAGATGAAAGAAATGACCTGCCGTGATATTGTTAAAGAGGTTGCAAAAATGTAAGTTGAAATCTTCCTTACCATTCATAGCAGCTTAGTGTATAATTTTCAGAAGGTGAATTTAACATTCTTTGGGTGGAAAACATGTTTTTAACTAAGTTACGTTTTCAAGTAATAATTATTAGGATAGGAAAAATACTTTTTGACAAAATAACCTCCTATGACAGGTTAAGGGTAGGACATGTAGTGGATGGACCATTAGAGGCTTCATTTCTTAGCTCCCAACATCTCAAATCTCATACATTTCAATAATAGTAATCTTTGGTTGCCCCCCAAAGGTTTACAGCTGATTATTTCTGTATATGATCCATGAAGCTCGTTCATTTACACAATCTGCTATTTCCTTGGGAAAGACTTATTTCACTTTTTCATGTTTGTTGTAGAGCAGTGATTAAAAAAATATATTTTTAAAGCTTAAGAGGCTGGTTGTGGTGGCTTACGCCTGTAATCTCAACACTTTGGGAGGCTGAATGAGGCGGGAGGATTGCTTGAGCCCAGAAGTTTGAGACCAGCTTGGGCAACATAACAAGACCTTGTCTTTACCAAAAAAAAAAAGGTGTGATGGTGTATGCCTATAGTCCCGGCTCCCCTGAGCTCAGAAGGTTTAGATCATGGTGAGCCATGATAGCACCACTGCACCAACCAGCTGGGGTGACAGAGTGATACCATGACTCAAAAAATATAAAGCTTACAGTCTAAACAGTTCACTTATTTGGAACAGCAAGCAACAACAAAATCAGTAAACCTAGGTAGTGATGTCTCAAAAAACTGATGATTCTTCTAGACGTAGGTATCTGGTATTTTAAAAAATATTTCAGTAAATTAGTGGCTTTGTAGCCAGCTCAGTGTGAGATGGGCAGGTGCGACTGTAAATCACCCATGAGATGGGCAAACTCACAGAAAGATCTCCCCCCAAAATTCACTGAAGCCAACCGAAAGCAGCCTCTCACAACAATGCTAGCTGGTACGCCATTGCTGATAGGTTCCTAGAACACTTACAAGGGGCCTGCCCTCCAAAAAACAATTCCATTTCTTTTAGGTTCCCCCTCCTGTAAGATAAAGCTATACTGGTATTGTACTTCATTCTATGATTCTTTGTTACTTTACTGTGTCCCATGACAGTGCCTCCTCCTTTGCTGCAGTTTGTAATATACTACAATGTGAAGGCCCAGGTAAAGTGATAGATAAACCATTATAAAATGAACAAAGGGTTTAAAAAGGTATCTGGCAAGAAGCTGCAGGCTGAAGAGACTACTAATTGCAAGCACGCACATTTTAAAAATATTTGGTTGATGAACAGAATAAATATCCTAAAAGGGCACAGTTAACGATGGCCTTTTCCCTGTGTTCTTTTTGAGATATCTTTTATATTTTTATTTGAGTTGGCATCTCACTCAGTTGCCCAGGCTGGAGTGCAGTGGCACGCTTATGGCCATTGCAGCCTCGACCTACTGGGCTCAGGCAATCCTTCTGCCTTAGCCTTCCAAGTGGCTGTTGGAACTACAGGTGTGCGCTACCACTAGCCTGGCTAATTTTTTGATTTACTATAGAGATGCGGTCTCGCCAAGTTGCCCAGGCTGGTCTTGAACCCCTGAGCTCAGGCAATCCTTTCACCTCAGCCTCCCAGAGTGCTGGGATTATAGGCTTGAGCCACCGTGCCCAGCCTTGTATTTTTAAAACAATGTATAAAAATAATGGGTTGTACACTTATACTCAATATTTGTAGGAAGAACAAAAGTGACTTTATCTCAACAATTATGTATAATTTTTGGAGTCACAGTCTCACTCTGTTGCCTAGGCTGGAGTGCAGTGGCACACTCATGGCCACCGCAGCCTCTACCTGCTGGGCTGAGGCGATCCTTCTGCTTCAGCCTTCCAAGTAGCTAGAACTACAGACACACCAATTTTTTGATTTATTGTATAGATGAGGTCTTGCCAAGTTGCCCAGGCTGGTCTTGAACCCTGGGCTCAAGCAGTCCTCTTGAGCCACCACGTCCGGCTTATGTTGCTTTTTCCAATGTTCATAATAATACAGACTGCAAAGGTCACTCTAATTTGTGCTGACTGTGGGTGTGTGAACTACAATATTTGGAGGTGAGCCAAAATATGTATTTTCTCTTTTCTAGAATTTACATAGTACATGACGAAGTTAAGGATAAAGCTTTTGAACTGGAACTCAGCTGGGTTGGTGAATGTAAGTTATTTTTTTACACTTACTTGCTTTAGGAGTCATCTACACTACACCTAATTTACTGCTGTGTGCCCTAAGATAAAACAAAAACAAATGTACCAGGTATAGTCTAATGAAGGAGAAGTTCTGCTTAATAATTTACTTGAAGCATTCATTTCATAGTTTTTTTAAAAGATTACTGAGAAAAAGTATATTACTGAGAAATCACCCATTTTCTTTCTTTCTAGCTTGGTATTCATAGGGTTTTAAGGCTAGGATATTTTAAAAATTGACTATGCTGTAAATTAATTCTCAGAACTTAAAAATCACAGCATAATAACTTCATTTCCATAAAGTGATTAATTTGGGCACACAATCTCATGTGGAAAAATACACAAAAATAAGTTCAAAGCATCTGTGGTATTACTCATAGCACAACTTTGTAACATTAGGTGAATCATACTTGATTGGGTAGGTTGAATGATATTGCAAATCAAAATATTGTCTTAACTTTTGAATTCATTTAAATATATGCTTTAATTCACAGTAACTAAAGGAAGACATGAAATTGTTCCAAAAGACATAAGGGAAGAAGCAGAGAAATATGCTAAGGTAAGACAGCATAAAAACTTCTCTAGGCTAGGCGCAGTGCTATGTACCCATAGTCCCAGCTGCTGAGTAGGAGTGAGGCAGGAGGATCATTTTAGCCCAGGTCGATACCAGCTTGGGCAACACAGACTTGTCTCTCTCTGTGTGTATAAATAAATAAATACACACACAACCAAAATCATGTGTTGAATAATAAAGGAACTTGGTTGATTTCTTTTAACAAACACCTATGTACTCTACTGAACTCTTAAGGACAGACATTTTTTTCCTAGGGTAATTCTGGGTGGGGGATAAAGTTGTTCTGGTTCTTCAAAAAAATTTATATACATGAAAATTCCAAGGGTCATAGTATATATTCTATCAAGAATGTAGTCATTTGTTAGGAGCAAGATATAAATTATCCTTTCTTTAACTGGGTATTCTAAAAGTGTTCAAAAGATTTTTAATGACTAGTGTTTAATTAAATTCAAGATATATTTTAAGTTGGCCACAGGTGTGTGACATTGTGATACTAAAAATCAGTTTTAAACACCAATTTTCTTTAACAGGAATCTTTGAAGGAAGAAGATGAATCAGATGATGATAATATGTAATATTTACTGCAGCATCTAATATTTTAAATTTCTACTACAAGTCCTATGTAACTATTTCGCCCCATGGATTATACATACTCACTGACCTGTTTTCATTAAATTTTTGTCTTGTAACTGTTGAAGTTTGGTTAATGCCTGCTTGACAGAATTAGTGGGGGTATTTGAGGACATGTACTTGATATTAAAATACAGATTTAAGTCTACTTACAAAGTCATTAGTTAAAATACAGCAAAATGAGGCTTTATAATAACATGGATTCACAGCCCATTTCATCACTCAGCTAGAATTTAAGGATATTTTGCTTGGCTCTTGTGTAAAATGCACCCTCCAAATCAGTAGGCGATTAATTGATACTGTTGCCTACATTAATATTTTTTAGTGAAATGATTGGTGGTCATGAGCCACTGTTAAATCTTTTGGTATCAGGCAGATTAAAGATGTTTTTGTTTGGGGTGGTTTTTTTAAAAATGAGATCCTTTAATATGTAAAAGTCAAGAATACTTTTGCTTAAGACTAGATTTAAGGATCAATAAAGTCCCTTTTCTGTCACTAAAAAAATTACTTGATCTGTAACCCATACCAGACAGTTTTTATACTAAAAATAAGAATATATTTGAAAATGCATGTTAACAGTTACTAAGTGGAATAATCAGTACTGGAAGAACTGTAATAATCCAAATAGCAGTACTCACACCAGGAACAAGCCATTTGAACTCTGGCCAGGTGCATAGCACTGCGCCTAGCCTAGAGAGTATAATAATACAGACTGCAAAGGTCACTCTAATTTGTGCTGACTGTGGGTGTGTGAACTACAATATTTGGAGGTGAGCCAAAATATGTATTTTTATGTAATTAGATATATACCTTTTATTGGGCTCATGCCAGTATGCTGGACTTTAGCATTTGTGTAGTTTAAACAAATCATTATACCTGAATTGCTAACTACTATACAAACAACTCCAAACAAGTATGTCATTACCATGGCTTCTTTTATATAACAGTATCTGCTATATTTTACAGCTCTTATATTTAACTTAGAATGACACAAGTGTTGGCCTTGGAAAAACACCAGAACAATATTAAATTGGATCCATTTATAGACAAGTTAACTATCCCTAAGCCAAACTACAGCCCTTCCTATACTTCCAAAATATGAATAGCATGTGAATATCATAGCATATTCTTAAAATTCATGTCAGTATATTTAAGAACCTCCCAAAAGGCGGCACTGGTTCTAAAGAAACCTAAATGTGAACAGCTAAGCTACTGTAGATGCCATATTGCAAATCTATTTAAAACTATTTGAGCAGATATACCTAGCTCTTACAGCTAATATGAAAAACTAGTGATTTTCATAAGCTAAACACAGGATTATAAATCTAGGTTCAATTGTAGGGTCACTTTGTAACCACTGCTGAGATATGACTAGCCTCTTTGAGAAAAAGCTGGCACGTTTTACTTTGACATTCATACAAAATTTATTTTTAAAAAGACTGAGTAACCTTACTGTAAATTACCTTGATAACGGTACCTAAAAAAAAAATTTTAAAGAATAAAGTTTTGGTTTGGAGATTACAAAAAAAGTATATACATTTTAAGAAAGGGAAAAACTACTAAAATTGTAATAATATATACCAATAACAGAAAACTTCTCCAATTACAAGAGGTGCTCAAAGTGGTTACCATCAGCATCCAGGCACTTCTGATTATGGTGAACTACAGCTTGAGCAATGCTGACCGAGTCCACTTTTATCGCTGCACACGCTATTTCAATTTCTTCCTGAAGTACTGCCAGTGTAGCTGGTTTTCTATGGTACACCATATCCTTTAAGGTCCCCCCATAGGTAGAAGTCAAGGGGTGTTAAGTCAGGAGAATGTGGAGGAAACTCAACCGTACCTCTTCGTCCTATCCATTGTCCTGGCAAATTCTCATTAAGGTAAGCTCTCACGTCTTGGTGGAAGTGTGGTGGGGCCCCATCTTGTTGGAAGTAAAATCGACCATTCCCAAAAAGTGTACGAATTGCAGGTAGAATGGATGTGCGTAGCATGTCTAGGTACACTTGGCCAGTAAAAGTCCCTTCAAAAAAGAATGGTCCAATTAGTCCCCTTAATGACAGTCCACACCAGACATTGAGGCCTGGTAAATTGAGTTCTTTTTCCACATTAACGTGTGGATTTTCTGGAGCCCAATATACACAATTACGTTGGGTCACTCTTCCATTCAATTTAAATTCTGCTTCATCAGACCAAACCATTTTCCCCACAAACTCCTCATCATCTCGTAACATGTTTTGGAACCACTCACAATACTGCATCCTTTGGTCAGGGTCGTCCTCATTCAGTGCATGTATTAATCTTGGGATGAAAACTTTACATTTTGCTGTTTTAAGAACACGTGGTATGCTTGTTCTGTTAACTCCTGTCTCACGGGCACATTGGTAGACTTCCGTGGCAAGCGTGTAAGCTGTTCAACACCATAGCAGAAGCAGCAGGGCTTGTTGGTGTGTGAGGCCTCTCAGATCTTCCCTTGTGCACCTCACACACAGTACCATGTGTCTCAAACTCATCACGAATACGTTCAATTCTTACGTGTGTTGGAGGTTCTGTGGCATACTACGTCTCCATTGTTGTACTTGCACAACGTTCTCAAATTTCAAATACCACTTCAAAATGGCCTTGCATTCCTCAAATGACAACTGTGCTGCTGTCATTTTATTTGTCCTGTCTACTGCAGGGAGACACTAGCATCATTTGATTAACGCCATCTTTTGAGCAAATGTAATACAACTTCGAAGAGTAATATGTGGATAATATCGCTTAAAATGTGTATGCATTTTTTTGGCACAACTGCTGTTTAGGCTATAAAAGCACTTATCTGATAAGACCATCCGTCTGCTTTTGTTTCTATCATTCATAAACCTAAAAAATAAGAAAATTAAGTTGTAGGACATCTTAAACATTAAAGCACTCATCATAGGACAAGCAGCAAGTTAAGATTACAAATTAACATTCTCATTCTGTAAAAATAAACACATATCAAAGGAATTCCAAAATACGAAATAAGAGTATAGCTGCTTATAACCCCAACTAAGTAAAGCCTTTTTGTTTCATCACTGACCAGTATATCTGTTATAGCTTATAATAAAATAAATATATACCCCTCAGACTTGGAGTTGTGTGTGTATATATAAAATCATGTCTTCCTATATCGACTGGTGAGCACACAGTAAGCATTTCAGATGCCAAAGGTACACATTTCTTACTGAATAATTCATACTAATTAGCTACAGGATAAAGGTATACTATTAAAAATCACTGGTAGCCAGATGTGGTGGCTCACACCTATAATCCCAGCACTGTGGGGAGGAGGCGGCAAGAGGATTACCTGAGCTCAAGGGCTCAAGACCAGCCTGAGCAACATGGCAAGACTATCGCTACAATAAATGAAAAAATCAGCCAGGTATGGTGGCACATGCCCATGGTTCCAGCTACTTGGAAGGCTGAGGCAGAAGGATCACCTGTAGGAAGGTCAAGGCTGTGGTGGCTGTGAGCATGCCACTGCATTCCATCCTGGGCAACAGTGAGACTCCAACTAAAAAAACAAACAAAAACCCCCACTGGCTCAGAAATATATTTAGAAGCTTCTAAATACAAAATGTGTGGGGACCAATTCTTTTATACAGCAGTGTGATTTTTCTTGTTGAAAGAATTATTAGGGCTTCTTCACCCCAACCACAATTTAAGAAAATCAATATTGTAATTAAAATGGGAAGATTGGTTAGTAAGTTCATCTAGATTTCAATCTGGCTTTGCCATTTATTATTGTGTGACCTTGGGCAAGTTACTTAATTTTCTCATCTATAATATGAGGATTATGTACCATCTAAAATGGCAACAAAATGGAATTTTTAAAAACAACTAAATTTGTATAAGATTTTAATGGTGAAAGTTATTAAAATGAGAAAAATACTAAATAGTGATCAGAAGATGCTATTAGGATGTCATTTCTCTCCAAACTCATGTATTAGATTTAATGTAAACCAAATCAAATTTCCAAGAGGCTCTTTTGGAAGAGAAGTAGTAGAAAATAAGCTATTTCTTAAACGTATATGGGAAAAGTAAAGGAATTAGAAGATCTAAAACAATTTATTTTCTCTCCAAACTCATGTATTAGATTCAATGTAAACCAAATCAAATTCCCAAGAGGCTCTTTTGGTAGAGGAGTAGTAGAAGATAAGCTATTTCTTAAACGTATATGGGAAAAGTAAAGGAATTAGAAGATCTAACACAATTTTGAAAAAGAACAAATGAGAAGACCTGATCTCATGACTTGGCTCAGTGGCTCAGCCTGTAATCCCGTGCCTTTGGGAGGCTGAAGTGAGTGGATTGCCTGAGCCAGCGGGTTCGAGACCCACCTGGGCAACTTGGTGAGACCTCATCTCTACAATTTAAAAAAAGAAAAATTAGCCGGGCG